AGAGAGAGAGAGAGAGAGAGAGAGAGAGAGAGAGAAACGGTGTGAAAGGGAATGGTGAGAGATTAAACGTTTAAAAATGACACATTAAAGTAATAAGTAATGACGTGATTGCTTTTTCTTTTTAGAAGATAACTTATGATAATATTCTCAGAGGACAATAGAAGTATTACTATTAACAGCTATAACATCATCAATTGAAATCAATTGAAGCCTCGGCTACGTAATACGAATTAACGTAGGAAGCTTACGTTAGTATATAAAAGCTATGTGAAAATACTTCATGTTGCTGGGGAGTTTTTTTTTGAAATCAGTTAACTACTTTATAATGATTTTGAAGTGTTGTGCAATTGTTCAAAACTGGAATTTTCGTGATTCTGCAAGAAGATAAATATTAGCTATAATGGAAATATTAGCTATAATGGCCTAGCTGATGCAATCAATAAGAGCCAAGTTTAAATTTTTTTGTAAAATTGTATTTAAAAGTTTGCCAATGTATGAATTAGAGATAATTATGCATGAAGTGGGAAATTGCGTTAAAGAAGAGATTATTTGCACTATCAATATTTTTCTATTGTTTGAATCTCAATCATTAAATTAAGTGCGAATTTTGAATTGCGTCACAAATTTATTTTTTTTAAATTCCATTATTTTGCAATCATCAAAATTTATTGATAGTTTTGAGAAGCTAAATGGAGCTGTTAATGAACGTTTCAAAGCAAAATTTATCAATACTGTTTGTTAAAGGTCAAAAAAGCGCACAATATTAAAGTAGGGACTTATTGATTGACTGAAAGATATTTGCACCTGCTGGATTATACAATTTGCGATTATGTAAAGCTCTAATTATTAGTTCAGAAAAGTCGATAGTTTTCTAGAAAAGAAGATGGAAACAATGAATGAAAACTTTTCTCCAAAATATGAGAATTATTAGACAGCCTTTTTCTTCTTTAAAATAAAAAAATTTAGCGAATTAAAGACAGATAAAAAAAAACATTTTTTAGCGCTAATATGCTTAAAATTGCAATAATCTTTTTTTTTTTCTGAAACAAATCAAATATTCCGTGCCAATTTTAACAGGAAATTGTCTAAAATTTAATTATATCAG